CGGGGGGGGAGAGATTTGAGTGTGTGTGTATTTTTTTTGGTTGTTTATTGGATGAGAATATTACTCGCGGTCAGCTTCTCAGCCACGGAATCCTCCACCCCATGCATGATCTCGTCACACTGCATATTCGTCTTCCCCAGCGAATACCGATCAGCACGCGAGTCGGCTAAACCTTCCCTTCCCTTCCCTCCTCCACACACCTAGAAAACCTCCCACAGACTCACCTTCCCATCCTTGGCGCCCGCCACAATCCAATGCTTGAGCTGCATCGCTTGCTCTCTCTGTTTCTGCAGTTTCCCCAGCCCGGTTTCTTTTCTTACTACTTCCCCGTCTCCTCCTTGCCCATCTTGTCCCGCTAAATCACCAGCGTCCAACACCTCGGCAATATCCACGGCGTATATGCCTTCCTTGTGCCACTTGAGCACCGCGACTTCTTTGAGTGTTTTGGTGCTGTAGATGCGTATGCGCGTGTCCCAGCCGCCAGTGGCGAGGATGCGGCCGTCGGAGCGCACGCGCAGGGATTGCTGGCCTGAGTGTTTGGTGTTTGTGGATTTGTGGGGTTGTTGGATGGTAATTCGGGGTGGTTTTTGTGGGAGGAGATTGGGTGTGGATTGGGATGGTGCGCTGGCGAGGAGGGAGGATAGACCTGCTGGTTTTGGAGATGTTGGTTGGGGTGGGCGGAGAGGTTGTTTGGAGAAGGAGAGTTGTGATGTTGGGTTGGAGTCTGTAGGCGAGATATCGGGACTCTTGCTTCTGATTGCTGGTAACGGTGGGATTGAAGACGTCGTATCTTTTGCTGCGATCTCCGCTGCAGAAGTGGCTGAGAGAGGTGCGTTTTGCGCCTTTGCACTTTTGCCCTGCGCGATACCGTTTGACAGGTCAGGGATGATATGCGCTGCAATGACTGCGTCTGCAGCTGAAGTGAAGTAGGTTCTGTTATCCGCTGATATGTCCAGCGATAATATGGGCTGAGTGTGAGGCTGACTTAGGTATATAAGCTCAGTCGACTGGACGCTTGAGGCCTCAGCGGATGGAAGTCGATGAACAGCTGTAAGACCTCCTTCGTACCCGGACAGTATCAAGACAGTATTTGATGTGGTATGATGTACGAGTTTCACAGCCATGACCATACCTGTATCTGTCAGCATGGAGGAGCGCCAATATTTTCTGACCAGGCACGGGATACTTATGTTTCTTACTCAAAACATAAGGCTGTCCCACTACTGTTGAAAATCTCGAAGTGGTCGGATTTGGTGTTAATGCGGACTCAAGTACTCACCAGAATCTACCATTGGAATTTTCGGCACAACATACCTCAGCTTCTCTTCAGGAAACTGGTAGATGTTGATCTTTTTGTCGTCAGTGGACGGTGTAGCTACGAGAATGGCATCACTCGACGTCCCCACGACTTTGTTTGGGCCATCATGGGCACTAGATGAGCACAATGAGAATGCACAAAAGTTCAGTGTGTTAACAGGCAGGGTGTAGAGGAGCCATGGTTTCGGTCTCGGTGTGGTCGCGTCCTCTGCAGGCAAGACGGTAGAAAATGTAGGCTCATCGGATGCGCGCAGCTGCCATATTCTCAGACTGTTGTCGCGGCCATGACTGGAAGTGGCATGTGTCAGTGGGTGCAAAGATACGCTGCGTACATGGCAAGAAATGAAGATGTAGAAAAGTTATGCCCAAAACGATGGACAGAGTTTTGACTGACTGCAGAAGAGGTGTGATGCCAGGGCGGACTCCACGTGATCAAACTTGTCCCGACCCCATTCTTGCGCCCCTAGGATTGCCCCTTCATGTGCTTTCCCATACTGCGAGTGCTCGCTTAGTTTCAAGCTTCCAGTACACGATCCAGCCGTCAGCATCGCCAGTCAGAAGGCGGCTGTTCCGGCGTACGAATCGCACGCTGTGTATCTGCGAGGCATGCCCGCGGAGTATGTAGCTTGGCTGAGCGGGCGGCAGTGCGGAGGTCTGGCGCTCAACGGCCATGTGTGAGCTGAGGTCGTCGTGTTAGGCAAGCCGGGACGAGAAGACAGTCGAGCGTGGGAAAAGTGGGGCCCCAGCTGCACGCCCGCCACGTTGTGTAGGCGTGATCTAAAAACAAGACGGAGCGAGCTGGATGTGGGAGATGCGTCGTAATGAAGACGGGAGTCCGATGCAGTGACGTCAGTATTTTATTGCAGCCCTTGTAATCCAGATCGTCTGCTCGTCTGGTCTCTTCCATAACAGCTCGCAGTGGTCACCGGCGGGTTGGACCCTCGTGTTGGACCCTCGTGTTTGCACATCGCAGCGGCAGAAGGAGGGCATATTGCCGAGGACGTGCAAGGGATCTAATTTTGGGGTAGCTTATTCGCGAAACGCGACAGGAATAGACGAGGAGCGCACTCCAGATGATGTTATCTGCAGGGGCTCGCTGGCTCGTACGACCATGTACTGTACGCCATGGCGACTGAGGAGCAAGGAGCAGAAGTGTAGCTACGCAGAGTCTCTCGTTGCGGCAGTGATGTACAGTGCTTGGTGTGCACATCCCACGTCGGCGATATACATGTCAAATGTAGATGGCATGTTCGCGCATCGCTCCGGGAACTCGATGACACTGGCTTCCGTGTGGAGCGCACGCTAAGGCGTCTTCGACGTGCTGCACTGTCTCCCGGCGGAGAGACTCCAATCCCTCGTCATCGGCTGCGTCTGCGCCAGCCCGACCAGGGCATAATCCAATATTCCAGCTTTTTGCATCACGTCTCATACAACATCTGAGTCGCTGCCCTCGAGAGATTGCATACACCGCGGCCCTGCGAATCCCGGCCCGGCTGCCGTACCGCATCCAATCTCGCTTCTGGGCTTCTCGCTGGAGCAACTTGTGCCGGACATATACGACTGCATTCCCGTCCACGTCTCACGACCCCCAGATTGCATTACTCTACGCGTTGCGTGCTTCTTTCGTGCTTACGATTGACACGACCACCTTGACGCCCCCCATGATTTCTCCTTGACACGACTCCAACGACTTCCTGCGCCCCAGTCGTCGCATTCACGGCCTTTCTCGTGCCATTGTCGCGCTGATTTGCCTCGGAGCATCAGCTTACGACAGCCCCAGACGACACGCGGAAACAGGGTCAAGGGCTGGGCACGGCGACATCAGCGGCAGCAACCAACGCCAGATTTCCGTCGAAGCAGCTTGCCCTGAGCTCTGCCCACTGCCTACATCCCAATGAGCGACGGCATGGCCTCCACAGTGACTCCCCCTCCAAGCGATCCTTCGCCGGGGGCGAGACCGGCAGTCCCCAAGAAGCGAGAGGGCGACGCCACGCCCGAGGGAAAGCCCAAGCGCACGCGCACAGGCTGTTTGACATGCAGAGAGCGCCATCTCAAGTGCGACGAGACCAAGCCAACCTGCAACAATTGCTCCAAGTCGCAAAGAGACTGCAATTGGGGCAAGAAACTCAACTTTCTTGACACCACATGTGAGAGGAATGCATACATCATACCAAAAGGCAACGACTACTGCATCGCTTTCCAGGATGAATCGAGAACAATCGCTGGTGAATACGTCGGGGGGCGAGAAATGTACCCGGCAGAGGAGGCCGACGACCACATACCCATCATGGGCAATGGATTCGACATGGGACCGCCCGTCAGTCTAGGTGCGCCAGGCCCCTCGCGCCAACACCTTATACCAATACAAGGCATTGTACCCGACTTCCAGCAAGCGTCGCACAACTTCAGCTACGACCATCAGCGAGCGCCTCAGCAGCAACCCACACGTGCACGTAAGTTCGGCCTGGCGCCATCATGGCCATGCTTCCTCGTGCAACACAATGAGCTTACTGACGGCCTCAGAATCCAATTATTCGAATCCCACCCCCTCTCCGTACACAATCGAGCATTCCGCGAGCCCCGCACCCCCACCCGTTCCAACACGCGATTATTTGAAGAGCCAAGAAGAGGTCCTGTATATGCAAGTCTTCGTGGAGGAGATAGGCATATGGATGGACAGTATGGATGCACACAAACACTTCTCGCGCCTCCTCCCGTTCCACGCGTTGAACGAACCCATGCTTCTTCACGCTTTCCTTGCTTGTGGCGCACGACATCTCGCTCTCGTCAATCCCAAGTACAGCGAGGACAAAGCATTACATTACTATGATGTGTCCACGAAGGATTTGCTACTCTCATTGCAAGACCCTGACCGCGACACGATACTTTGTGCCACAACGGCCGTAATACTGAACGTTTACGAAATCATGGGCGAACGAGCCTTGCAACGCATGAACCATATCGCTGGTGCACGCGCACTGATCAAGGAATGCCGATGGAATGCAAGGTCCACAGGCATAGGGGCTGCATGCTTCTGGCTGAATGTTGGCATGGAGATTCTAAGCTGTCTACATTTTAACTGGCAGGTCGCTTGGGACCCAGACGACTGGGGTATTGAAATGGACTTCACTCCCGAGATCGAGTCAGGCAAAGAAGAGGTCTGGACCCATCGAATACTTTACATCGTTGCACGCACCTGCAACTTCCGTGCATCAATACCCCGAAACCAAGACGTTGCCCGACAGACGCTTCAAGACAGGCATGCTGAATGGACCCGACTGAAGGACATGACAGACAAGTGGAATGAGAACATCCCACGGACTATGCATCCAATGGCATACCTCTACCCTGGCCAAACCATCTCCGGCTCTGCCTTTCCAGAAGTGTGGCTTGTTAAGCGAGCGTCCATTGTGGCAAGACTCTTCTACCATACATGCTTGGTACTACTAGCGCAGATCAACCCCATCCAGGGGCCGAACGAACCTGAAATGTGGGCAATGCTCGAACAGAATTCAAAATTCATTTGTGGCATCAGTGCACACGTCAAAGATCGCGGTGTGGCGAGCGTGGCTTTGCGCTCACTTGCAATAGCTGGAGAATGCCTGACAGATCGTCGAGAGCAGGAGGAAGTACTCCAAATCTTCGATAAGATTCGTCAAGAGACAGGATGGCGTGTTGGCTTTGTCAACACCGAATTGAAGCAGCGATGGGGTTGGGATACGCCCCAACAGGAACAACAACAGCAAGCTCAGCAACAGGCACAACAAGCCCAGCAGCAACAGCAAGTGCAACAAGCACAGCAGCAGCAGCAACAACAACAACAGCAACAACAACAACAGCAACAACAGCAACAACAGCAGCAGCAACAGCAGCAGCAGGTGAACGGCCACGTACAAGACACTATGGCCTACCAACAGCAACCGATGCAGCATGCGCAGATGGTCATTCAGCAACAAATGCCCCCGGCCTCACTTCCGCCTGCTCTGATTCAGCCTAGACGACCGCCCGCTTTTGGCAATCCCCTTCTCGTGGCCGATTTTAGCATGCCGCAACATCCTTACCAGACCCATTACGTCCCCGCAAACGTTATCCAACAGCAGCAGCCGCCATCGCTCTTACAACCGCCGTTGAGTGGTATGAACGGATACGGCGGGCAGAGTTTCTACTAAGCATACCATTTCCGGATCAAGCTTCTTCGTTGATACCCGACGTCCTCTTCAGCCGCCTGTGTATTACTGGTTTTATTTGCCTTCACGCGACCCTTCTGGGACACGCACAATACCTCATTTTCTACAATTTGTCAGTGCTTCAAATATTCTGGTCTTCATCTTCTGGTCCACCCGGTTCATGGCAACCTGTCGACGATACACGATCACGATCTTACGAGCAAGCAATCTGTCGTATGCATACTGTACAACCTTTTTTCATTAACTCTGTCGACTGGGAGAGGCGTCATGTCCCGTAGATATACCCAAAAACGAATCGTACATAATGTCTCATCTATTGACTTTGATACCAGCATGTGGTAGAGAAAATGATGTGTCACCAATTTCTGCACTGGTTCGAAGAAGCCATGGAGGTACTCAATCCGGGGATCAACATTCCTGGGAGAGCTATCAGGGTTCTCACGGGTCGTGGGTATAAGGAGACCAGACCTGCAAGATAGCAGCTGGCAGCACTGGTCTTCCTCTGGAGCCTGATTTACCTATCGGCCGAGTTCCGCCAGCAGCCAGTCACGGCTAGATCCACAGCTTCAGTCCAACATCCCTTTGCCCCGCGCTTCACTAGTCACTAGTCACGCCCCCTAACCCCGCACCCGCTTTCCACTAGAACATCATTCGTTTTACAGGGCCGGAAGGGCATACCGCATGTCCTTTAACACTGGACGAAGGAGACTTGGAGTATTGAATCTTGGTTTTCGATACTCGAAATCCCGCGGACACCAGTGTATTCGACTCTTGGGCAACTCGGCTACCCAGACGCGCGCATGAATCTAGATTGATCTCTGCGCGATGGAACCTTGTAATTGGAGAAAAGCTGGGGTAGACCATGCAACCGAACCGAGTCAACACAATCCTTTACTCCGTGGAATGCTCCTTGCAAACGATAAAGTATCTTGATACTTTTGGTACAATACTCCACTCGATTACCCCGCGACCGAGGACAAGGCAACCACAGCTTCTCGGCATTAGGGATCCCCGCATGGGGAAGAAAGGGAGCCGCATGCAGATGGCTTGTGCTAGACAGGGCATGCCAGGCGGCTAGTAGTCAATATGCTCGTCCTCTTCCTCGATTGAGATGCAAGGCCCTTCGTGGCTGGAGAACTTGCAAGATGTAAGCAGTTTGGCTTCGCGCTCGACCGACCCAGTTGGCTGGTATCTGTCCTGGTTTCCGATCCAAACGATCAACGGCTCACATGGACATGATTCATCATGAAAACAGCTCGGTCCACGATAAGCGGCTTGAAAAGGCTACAGCATCCATATGTGCACGGACCATAGGACCTTGACCACAAACTTGGAAGGTAAACGTCGCGCAACTGTCAGTCACTGATTAATTGACGCGGATATCGCGAGACAAGCGCAGGTAATTGTTTTCGTATAGAATTTTTCACCTCGCGGCCGTGGCCGAACAGAATGGTTGGGAAAGAATTAACATCAGGAGATCTTTATTCCCAAACCGGGCGCTGACGTCAAGCCACCGACCCACTCCCAGTACTTCAGTCGATACCTGGACCCCTCACACCACAATAGACCCCTGACACACCATTCAGATCCACTCAACACTAACGTCAGACCACGCGTAGTTCCCCCGCGTACGGGTAAATCATTCCATTGCTAGATAGTGGCGGCCGACGGAGAGCTTGAACTCGCTCACGCTACTGGTCCTGCCACCCATCCGATACAGCGACATCCGATAGCTTGTCGTAGCCTGTCCCTGTATTCGAAACTTTGCACAATGTACCCCTCCAGGCAGCTGTATCTCACTGCCATTGGCCAATCATAACGCCACGATCATCTGGCTCCGGCAAGCCGACCAAAGTCAGAGGTCCTCGTGCATGTCAAGGATGAGAGGAGCTGGCGGTTGGTGCTTTGTATGGCCGAGAAACCTACCAAGCTATCTCACCCTGGTGCGATGTGCATGTAGTAAGTGGGGTTTTGCTCTCGAGCTCGAAACAGCTGTGCGTGGTAAAGGTATATAAGTCGTAGGTCCCGCTTCTTGAACTCATCATCAGCTCACCAGCAATCGATCAATTAACTAGTATCAACTCAAATCCCACACATACTTTCATACAATTCTGAAGATCACCAACATGGGTTCTATTCCTACCGAGCAATGGGCGCAGGTTATCGAGAAGACTGGCGGCCCCGTCGACTTCAAGAAGATTCCAGTACAAAAGCCTGCTTCAGATGAGGTTCTTGTCAACATCAAGTACTCTGGTGTCTGCCACACTGATCTCCACGCCGTAAACGGTGACTGGCCACTGGTAAGTTCATGATCCCCAATTATTTTCGACACCCCATCTTCTTCGACATCTTTTTCAAGCTGTCCCAGAAACACCTTCAACTTACCGCACAGTCCAATTCCCAAACTCCAGAAACTCTGCTAACTCATCCCCAGGCCACCAAACTCCCCCTCGTTGGCGGCCACGAAGGCGCGGGCATTGTCGTCGCCAAAGGCGAACTAGTCAACGACATCGAAATCGGCGACTACGCCGGCGTCAAATGGCTCAACGGCTCCTGCCTGGCCTGCGACTTTTGCCAACAAGCTGACGAGCCACTGTGTCCCAAGCCCCTCCTCTCCGGCTATACTGTCGACGGCACCTTCCAGCAATACTGCATCGCCAAAGCCGCGCACGTAGCCCGCATCCCCAAGCACTGCGACCTCGCAGCCATCGCGCCCATCCTTTGCGCCGGTATCACGGTGTACAAGGGCCTGAAGGAATCCGGCGCGAAGCCCGGCCAATTCGTTGCCATCGTCGGTGCCGGAGGCGGTCTGGGCTCGTTGGCGTGCCAGTACGCAAAGGTCATGGGCCTGCGGACAATTGCCATCGACACGGGCGCGGAGAAGCAGAAGATGTGCACGGAGCAACTGGGCGCCGAGTCCTTTGTCGACTTTGCAACGAGCAAGAATCTTGTCGCCGATGTGCAGAAAGCTACGCCAGACGGTCTGGGCCCCCACGCTGTCATCCTCGTCGCCGTCAACGAGAAGCCGTTCCAGCAGGCGGCTGAGTACATCCGTCCCCGTGGTACCGTCATTTGCATCGGTCTGCCGGCGGGCGCGTACCTCAAGGCGCCCGTGTTCGAGTCGGTCATCAAGATGATCCGCATTCAGGGATCGTATGTTGGTAATCGCAAGGACAGCTCCGAGGCGATTGACTTCTTCGCGAGGGGTCTGATCAAGGCGCCGTTCAAGGTTGTTGGCCTCTCGGAGCTGCAGATGGTTTACGACAAGATGCACAAGGGAGAGATCGCTGGACGATATGTCTTGGACACGTCCAAGTAGATGCTGCTTTCTTGGTGATGGGAGGCGCGAATAGTCATGGCACAACTTACTGTAAATACTGCGGAAATGACAAAAACAAGAACTGAACTACTTCACCTCATGTGCGGCATTGGTGATGTGACTATCGGTTGTTCGGCAGGTGCAAAGAAGTCTCCCTAAATCCAGTTATCGTGAGTAGTAGTCTACACAGCTTTGCGGATATGGAGCTGAAGAACACAACTTCCTACCCCAAGCTTTCACGTCAGGAACTCAGTCGATATCGAGATAGTACACCGATCAAGTTTGGAAACAGCAATGTGGTATTGAGAACAGTTCATCATGGTATTAGTCAGTGTAACAAGCTCATTATATTACGTAAAAACTCATCAACTAAAGAAGACTAAAGCAACCCAGGCTTTGCCTAGAATGTATCGGACGCAAGCAGTTGCGCTCGAAGACGACTCATCTGCATACGATTGTTGCGATGCTATTGCACCATGACATCGACTGCCTCACCGTTGCTACCATTGCTGTCCAGTGGCCTGTCTTCGGCGTCCTGGAGACCAAAGGGCAACACAGGTGGGATGTCCTTGCCCGCAGCACGTGCTTTGGCTTCGGCCCAATGCCGAAGCCGAACCAGACTACGCATCCGTGCTTCGCCTCGAGCACCCATACTAGTGAGTATGGCCTCGTTGACCTTGCTAGCGACATTTCGTCGCAGCGAAGGATCGAGCAGGTCAGTCAGCTCCTTTTGTAAGGAGCCAGTCGCGGGGAGGAAGATGAGTAGCGACATGGTGAGCTCGAGATCCTTCAAGAAATCAGGGTTTGTCGCTGCTCGAGGAGCTAGCTGTGACGAGGCAAAGTTGAGAGCGGGCGTGATGTCGGAGGAGGCGGACGAGGTGCATGCTCGGATGAGCTCTATGAGCTGTAGACGGAGCAATGCGAAATGCAAAGCGGGGTCTGTGTCAAGGATCTGATTTGCTTGTTAGCAGTGTTCGCAACAGTCAATGCGAATAATCGGAGGGACATCTGCTTGCAATCATACTGAGGACTGAAGGTTTGATTATCATCAAAGAAGATTATGCGTGGTGCATGAAACTAGATATAATCCTGCAAGGGAGTGCGACGAAGAGGGGAGATGCCACATACCTGGGGGTTCAGATCGTTGACCCTAGTGATAGCGGTATCGATGTCGCCAGCATCAATCGCCTGTCGTATTTCTACGCGGGACTGGATGGATTCCTCTTCAAGAGGCAGCTGGATGTTGGCTTCCTTGGCGAACTTTTCAGCAGCCCGAGGGTATCCTTCGCTGACCAGGTAGTCCATGATGACAAAGTTGATGTCCCTGTAGATGTTGGGTTAGCAATGATGTCATCGCGCTGGTCTTGAAGTAGTAGACGAGAGAGCTGCAAAGCAAGTGTGTGCTTGCGATATCAGACTACAAGTTAACTTTTTCTCCACACGGAATTTTCGGAGAGATTCCCAACTTATTTTTTGTCGCATCATGTGAAAGAAGAGGTAGCGAAAGGTAGGAACTTACATCTTCGACGGCTTAATTTCATCAACCTTTCTCTGGAAAGAATGTTGCGTCGGCGTCGCAGCCGACACAGAAACGGTAGATGAGCTCTGCTTTGTCGTCAGGATGTGCGCAGACCAGCAACGAAGCGGTCGCGACTGACCATGATGAATGAAGCGAGGCGGTCACGCCCTCAGCCGACGTCCATCAGTGAAAAGTGAGCGCTGCCCGACCGTGGTCGAGTGGGCGTGGAGCTGCGCAAAAGTCTGCAGCTTGGAGGAAGAGGAAGACTGAGAGACGAGATCCGTGGAAAGAAAGACTAAGCTACACAGTTAGCGGGGCTTGGCGCCCGGCGCTATGCCTTAAGTAAGCGAGCGCCGCTTTCGAGCTCTTTGCTGCGGGCAACCGTCAATTCTGGGATTTTGCATAGAGCATAACATATCATTAGCTTTCATTGTTTGCATATATTCTCACACATCATGAACTGATCCGGTTCGTATTTTCACTATATCCCAACACCACCTCAGTTTCAACCATGTCTACCGCGGGTCGAAGGTCACACTACGAGCCGCCTTGGGGCAATGCAAGCATTATTGGAGTAGCTGGTAGCTCTGGATCAGGAAAGACATCTCTGGCATTGGCTATTGTAGCTTCGTTAAACCTGCCATGGGTTGTGATCCTGTCTATGGTCAGTTTATGCTCTGAAACTGGTCACGTGCTCACTCACTGACAACACGCAGGATTCCTTCTACAAGCCCTTGACTCCTGAGCAATCAGCAGCGGCCTTCCGGAACGAATTTGACTTCGACGCGCCCGAGGCCATCGACTTTGACAGTAGGCATCCATGAAACATCATCGCCCATAGGTAGTAGCCTTACTAACATGTGATGTAGTCCTGGTGGAGAGGCTCAAGGATATCAAGAATGGGTACACATCTCCATTGAAGTAGTTGAATTTCTGCTCATGGTCTTACAGCAAAGTTGCGGAAGTGCCAATCTATTCTTTCGAAAAGCACGCTCGTCTCGACAAGACCACAACAATCTATTCACCCCACGTCCTCATCCTTGAAGGCATCTTTGCCCTGCACGACCCACGCGTGCTCGAACTCCTGGACCTCAAGATCTTCGCCGAAGCAGACTCTGATCTCTGCCTATCACGACGTCTCGTCCGAGACGTGAAGGAGCGTGGCCGCGATATCGAAGGCTGCATTAAACAGTGGTTCGGTTTCGTGAAGCCCAACTTCTACAAATATGTTGCTCCACAGCGCGAAATCGCCGACCTTATCATCCCTCGAGGTATCGAGAATAAAGTGGCCATTTCCATGGTCAGTGACCAAGTGCGAAAAACACTGGCAGACAAGTCTGAGCTCCACCAAGTTGAGCTGAAGCGACTGGGGAGAATTGCCGAAGATAATCCCTTGAGCAAGAATGCTATCGTATTGAAACAGACGAACCAAGTCAGGGGCGTGCACACTCTTCTGCTCGATCCAAAGACCTCGCGAGAAGACTTTGTATTCTACTTCGACCGCATGGTAGCACTGCTTGTCGAGACAGCATGCGACTTTTTGCCATTTACACCAACCCAGGTCATCACACCTCAACGGAATGCGTACATGGGTCTGAAGTTGAACGCCGATGTGAGTGCGGTAGTAGTGTTACGGGGCGGCAGTGCATTCGAGACAGGCCTGCGACGCACGATTCCAGACTGCAAAACTGGAAGGATACTGATTCAGACAAACTTCCGAACTGGCGAGCCCGAGCTGCATTATCGGGCATTGCCGGCCAACATTGCTGAAAACGGCCTTGTTCTGGTGCTGGACCCCCAGTTCTCGTCTGGAGCGGCGGCGCTGATGGCTGTCCGAGTTTTGGTTGATCACGGTGTGTCAGAAGACAAAATAGTCTTTGTCACATACACAGCTGGCCGTGTGGGTGTGAACAGGGTCTTGAGTGTCTTTCCGGACATCAAGATCGTTGTGGCACGACTAGGCGACGACCAGGAAAACCGGTGGGTAGAGACGAAATACCTGGGGTGCTAACGAACTGGCGACGTGAGTAATACCGTCAAATATTTCGTCTAGGGCGTCAATATTGCATCGCTTCATATATTCTACAGCTGTACATGAGCATGTCTTGGCGACAGTATATAGCCAACATAGGTAGCGAATGAGCAACCGTAGTGCCATGAATCTGGCCCGAGCCATGATGCGTCGCCATGCGTGGGTATCATAGGAAGTATTCCGTCGTCACCTCCTTTCCTTGTTGTTGCTGTTGCTCTGCGCGATGCACGTCGTTATCGGGACTTGCATCAAAAACATTGAAGAATCGCTCGCCAGTATCGCTAACTTCCAGCACGCTCGCCATGTTTCCACACCGATAACAGTAGTTTGGCGCACTCCATACAGTACTCAGTCGATCATCGTAGAGGACCTGGTAACCTTCCTGACAAAGCTGATGAGCACGGAGAATGTGCGACATTCCGTTCACCTCCAAGAACTTCTTGACGACCTGCGCGCCGAACGTGTACCCCGCACCTCTTGGGCTAAGGGAGAATTCGTCTCGTTCGGGGTCTGGATCGCTCCACACCAGGTCCGCCATGGGCCCTTCGTGGGGTATCTCTCGGAAGCGGTCGATGATTTTGATTTGGTCGATGGAATGGATCGAGGGCGACAGGCCGCCATGCACGCAAAATATCTGGTCGTTGATGACGACAGAGAGTGTGAGGAAGTCGAACATATCGGTGAAATAGTGCCAGACGCTGGCGTTGCCATATTTGCGCGAGCACTCAGTGTAGAAGCCGTATGACTGGGTCACTCCACGAGACTCGTGATTTCCGCGGATGAGATGGACTCGGTGTGGATAACGTAGCTTCAGGCATACGAGGAGGGATATAGTTTCGACAGAGAAGAGGCCGCGATCGACGTAGTCACCTGTGACGAGTCAGCCTTGCAAATTACAAGTGTGTGTGAGCCTATGTCGTACCTAGAAACAGATAGTTTGTGTCTGGACAAGGGCCGCCAATTTTGAATATCTCCATCATGTCAAAAAACTGCCCGTGGATGTCACCCACGACCGTGACGGGCGCTCGAATATGCACCACATTGCTCTCCTTCATAAGAAGCTCTTTCGTCTTGGCGCATATTGCCTCGACTACCGATTCGGCCAGCAGCTCCTTTTTGGAGAGGCGCGAGATACACTCATCGAGGTCTACGGTGGCTGTGGGAGGTCAGTACATGCTCACGGCGGGTCGCGTGAGGGGCGCCGGCGACTGACGTACACGGAAGTCCGGGCATGGTAGTATTGCTAACGCGTGTGTGCGAGGTGCTGCATCCGCGGCGGGCTCAGGGTCTCGAGTCTATACTGGTCGCTAGCATGTGCCGGTATCGAACAATCATCCTCGGAGGCGCATCGAGACTTGCTATTGCGAGAGGCGGCGGGGGGCGAGTGAGCGAAGTGGGTGCGGCAAGATGCTCGCGGTCTTCGCAATCGGAAACAGGGGTCCAAGCTCTAGAAAAACGTGACTACGAGATTCAGACATCACTTCATAACGCGACCTGCATCCGCGCTTCAGTGCGTTCCCCTCACCCGTTGCCGGACCTTCCATTCTCTTCTCTCGCTCGGCAGTCGCTCCCGACCTGCCATTCTCTGCTCGTCTTTTGCTCTCTCAACTTTGCCATCAGTTTTCTGTCGCGCTCTCCTGCTGGCTCTCCTCGCATCAGCAGCCCGGTGTCTTGCATGTCTTCATCACAAACAACGCTCTCCCGCTAGCTTCCCATGATCAATTCTCCCAACAGGGTAGTCTTCTTGGCACCCAGGCAACCTCGACAGGCAATTGCCGTGGATACCTTGGGTCACCCTATCGATTTGGCTCGTGCGCCGTTCCAAATTTGAGCTCGCACCTTCGGCTCCAACAATCACTTCCCCACGCTGACGGAACCCTCCTGTTCCTATGCGTATCACCTCAAACTCCGTAACATATCCTTGAAAGTTGAGAGTTGTAATCTTCCTTCATTCCTCTGCTCTTACAAACATTGATCATCGCGTCTTCAATGTCGTGGAGTGGACCTATGGCCGGTGTTACACCGTATCCTCCACAGCCGTATACCAATGTTCAACCGGGATACGGTCAACAGCCGCCATTTCAGTATGGACAACAGCCAGGCTATGGGCAATACCCCCCAGGTCCACCGTTTCAAGCCCCTTGCCCACCCCAGCGGCCACCAAATATCCAGCCTCCAAAGAAGAAAGGCAATCCCATAATTACCCGCTATCCTCCGCCACCTGGATACCGCGGGCCCGCACAAACTCAAGGACCTTTTGGTGCAAATCAGTACCCTAATCAGTATCAGCCACCACAGCCAGGATTTGGACAAACGGCTCCACCACCATCAGGTTATCCAAATCAAGGCTACGCCGCTCCTCCAACCCCTCAAGGCTACACACCGCAAGGCTATGGCCCTCCCCATCAACCGAACTACCCTCAGCAGCCATACCCGCAGGCACAGAATCCTCAATGGCCACAACCAGGGTATCCACAGAATCAAGCTTACCCTCAGAGTCACCCCGGCCCGCAAGGTTACGCGCCTCCTGCGAGTGGATACCCAGGCTATCCCCATCAGCCTGCCCCAATAGACCCAAATGCTAACCAGCAAGCCTTCGGACAAGCTCCAGGATGGCCAGCGCCGAATGGGCAAGCGCAGTATCTGCCAGTCCATCAATACAATGCCTATAGTGGGCCGACTCAGGCTATTACGCAGGGCTATGATCCTAATGCCACGCCGACACCCACCTCAGTGCAAATGGCCACAGCGCCAGCCCCTCATGTAAGTTCGCAACCACCCAGTGCTATAGAGGAGAGCAAAGCAGGTGAGAGGCCGCAGTTGTTCCTTGCTTGGGATGACTGGGATTTCGATTTCGAGGGTGCGATCTGGCCGAAGAGCAACGAGCCTGTGGACCCTAACCTCAGCTTGGGGGTTATAATTTGGCATCCCGCAAAGCAGGTGACGCGTGCACTGCCATCCACGTTTGATCAAGCCGAGGATCAAGCCCTGAAGCCTGCGCCAGAGAAACTGGACAACGGCGAGTCTGTGTCTGTCTATTTCATGGCTGAAAACTCGCACGAAGCTTTCCTGGATGTTCGCCAAAACCGACGACTGGGAGAATATCAAGGACGACCCGATCTTTGTTGTCTTCAGTGACGAGGACATGGAACAAAATCTGGTGTCACTGGAGGACTGTATCGCTCAGCGCGACCGTCCAGACGAAGAGACAATCGTGCATCAGGGAGATGACGACGAGGAAATGCCAGACGCTTCCTGGAGTGTGATGGATCATCTCGAGCAAGTACTATCTACGAACAAAGGAGCGTCCCGGTCTAGGTCCTCGGGACCGCAGCCATCCCCGCCTTCTCATGATGCGCAGGAAGATATCCTTGCCAAACTGGGCGTCACTGGCGCACCTAAGCCGCCCACTGAAGGGTCTGAACAGCCACCTTTTCCGATGGCCCATGAACCACAAGGCTCGGTGCCTGGGAAGCATGAACCAGCTCCTCTGTAAGTCCTTTCAATCAATCGGGTCATTTTGTACTAACCCAGGTCAGGCTGCCATCGGGATTGCCGCTACCTCCAACGAGGTCGCAGTCGTTTGGTGGACCGAGAGACCACGAGAGTAGGCGCCCACCTGCACGGCCGTACGGTTCATTGTCAGCCACAAACGGCTATCGGCAGCCCGTGCCTCCACCACCACCACCACCGCCTGCTCCACAGCGTTATAGTCCATGGAACCAAGCACACACAGGCGGAGGCTTTGACAGCTCTAGGGGAAGCCCCGCTCCTTCGGAGGGTAGCAACCATACCATGGCAGGCTCTGACTTCGAGCCGGACAAGCCTGTCATAAAGGAAGACGGCTCTGACGGCCCCACCCTCACCAGAAGTGGCAGTTCTTTCTCTCGGAAGAGGAGCTACGAGGATGCTGATCATGGCGACGAGAAGCTACGTCAACAGGACGACTACACAAAGCGGAAGCGCAGATCACAAGTCGAATCTGCCTACAGGTGAGTGTCTGCCATGATTCGTATTCCAGTCAATACTGATAAGCTCTAGTCGTCGATGATCGTTGCGCAGCCTCTAATCTCCCGCTCTTCTCACCCCTCTGCACGCCACTTATATTTCCAAATCCTCTTTTTCAATTGCGTGCCCTATCTCTGCCTCCCCTGTCGTTATTTTACCGCAGTCCATATTCTTGTTCGGCGGGAGTTGTTCATCATCACTGTAGGCTGGTGTCCGAAAACATTTACTTATATTTCTTATTGTCTCCGTTGCCACGAAAAAGTATAGACAGTATTGGCGTCACATTGCTGAGAGAGGCTCAGCTATGCGCCTCATTCATCTGGTCTCATTATGTTTCAGAGTATATGTTTCCAATACTCTCGGTCCATTTCTATTGGCGCTTTATGTCATCTGCTTCTACTATTACGATCTATTGTGTCTTCTATCTCGATTCTGGCCTATCGTATCGGCCCTGTCAGCCTCCCATATCACCATATTTAATCTCACTTTCTTCTCAACAAGCAACGAGGTCGCGTGTCTCTGTATCTGCTCCTCTGCCTTACCCGGACATCGAGTTCTTCCGGTTGGTCGTCTATCGCATTCACATCACGTGTCTCTCCTAGGCTCATTGCGCCACTTCCGTGTTGGGAAGAGGCAACGATATTGCTATCCCCCCACGGCGAGCGAGCGTGCAGAAGGGCTTCCGTGGATGACGCAAGCCGATTTACAGTAGTCGAGGTGAGATCAACTTTTCAGCAGTCATGCAAGTCAAGGCACAAAGTTTTGGACTCTCGTAGATGGTAACCATAGAATTGCGGTAATGTCAAATAAGTGTAGCATGCGGACCAATGATCCGCACTATGCAATACGGGTGATTTCACGTAATGCAGCCAGCCCATCCGATTCCGTCTACATCCCAAGGTCCTGTCTTTCCTCGCACTCCGTTTTTTAACGTGGCCGTTCTGTGCCGAGGCGGATGGAGTGTGCCGCGGGTCTAGGTATGTGTATGGTCGAGCTTTCTTCAGTTGCTTTTCGCCGAATAGAGACATTACCTAATCTTGAGAGATATGCTGAGTCTGTTCGATGTCAGCGACAAGTCAAGCATGATTGGGGGCACTCACCCACCGAAACGGACCTCGACATGGCGTATTGTTGCAGCCTCAGCACAGCTATTATTCGGCATCGACCAGTCATCCGGCGAATTTGCACCGACTTTCGAATGGGGGATCCATCGGTTCCGGACGGCGAGGCGTCAGATCGGCGCTCAAAGCTCGCCGCAGGGCTTCAATAGCTCTCTGTAATGTTTTGGCGACCTTCTTGCGATACGTGTGTCCGGTGCGACCGCAGGATTAAAGCTAGTTGTTGCGGCCACCGTCGCCGCAGGTGAGGTGTTACTGGCGACAGGGAGAGCACATTCAATAGCTCTCCGTAATGTTTCGTCTCGCTGCGGGGTTGTTGTTAGAGGAAGGAGCGCAGTGAAGCTGGGGAGCTTACTTATGCCGCCATCATTAGTGGCGTGCGGCTCGATCGCCGCTAACGAGATGGATGTGGGATGAATGCTCGGTAAGAATGGGGTTTTGGCGCGGAGCTGGCCGTTAGAGAGAGGAGGTAGGGACAGAAGTCGGTGTTGTTTGTATGTGCGCTGTGACGTGCGCAGAGGGCAGGTGCGGTTGGGCCAACGTATGCACGTTCTTCCCCAACGATCCTACTATATTATATCGTGCTTTCGTGCAACCTAGATGTTAGATGCAGCTACACAAGTCCAATCCGTCGTTCCTCTGCTCATCTACCTGTAGTCATCGATGGCGGATGAAGTCATCACAATACGATGCCACCACAGATCGTTTACTCCTGTGAGTCTTCGTGTGACTCGATCGTGTTACGATGTAGAAGCTAAGAGTCACAATAAGGTATAAAATGCATCGCTAGGTCGTGCTGTCTTTCTTTGCACATAATTCTCAGAACTTTACACTGCGAATCATTTCCGAATAAACTAATCGAATACTTCACAGAATGCATTCAACTACTATCCTTCACACGCTTTTGTTCATCATTGGACATGCTTTTGCGGCCTATGATAATTCCTCGAAGACGAATTTGGCTGTGTACTGGGGACAAAACTCTTTGAAACTCAGCGAACCGGACCCAAATGCCCAGGGACGTTTATCAAAATACTGCGCTGATCCCGATGTCGACATCATCATGATCGCTTTTATCTCTGCACTGAACAATGCGAAGGGCGAGATTGAGATCAATCTTGCCAACCAGCTGTGGTATGCCCAAGGTGGCCAGCCGTATCCTGCCCCCAAAACTGGTGCGGATATTAAGACTTGTCAAACAACCAATCAGAAGACAATTCTGTTGTCATTTGGAGGTGCTGAGACGGCTGCGGATAAGGGATACGCCTCCGATGATGAGGCGAAGGCTGGCGCGAAGAAGATCTGGGAAATGTTTGGACCCAAGACAGCTGCCAGCAGTATTCGTCCATTCGATGATGCAGTTGTCGACGGCTTCGATTTCGACTTTGAAGATGAAACAGCCGTTTTTGCAAGTCGTCATCGCGATGCCTTCATAAAGGAACTAAGTTCTCTTGCGAGAGCCGCCGAGACGGCAGGAGGCAAGAAATTCTACTTTAGTGCAGCCCCAGAATGCACGCAAAAGAACAGCCTCCTGAGCTCGATCAAGTACGACATGGTTTTCGTGCAATTCTACAACAACCCCACTTGCGACGTACGCAAATACCAACAGAGCGAATCGACGAACACGTTTTTCAACCAGTGGGACGAAATTGCAAAGTCGAACGGCACGAAATTCTTTGTAGGTCTTCCTGGCTTCTCATCTGCGGCCACAAATGGAGGATATGTGAGTCCTGAAAACTTGACTGGGTATCTCAAACCAGCTCTTTCCCTCACCAACATGGCCGGTGCTATGGTGTGGGATGCTAGTCAGGCCTGGGGCCAAACGACATGTATCACAAGAAGGTCAATACTGCTTTGGTAAGCAAGTAAGGTTTCTTTCTATTCGTCAAATGATGGGTCATGAGGTAGCAATGTTAGGGTGTATTACTTGCTGTAGCTGTACGTAGCTTTCGAGATTAATAACCAAGGTATTTGAAAGGTCTCATGTCTCATTTAGAGCCCATAGATGCATATGTATTAATCCTCGAAGAACGTGGGGTGATAATGAGTCTCTGCCGCCTTCCCCTCTTCCTGACCACGAACATGTTTGTAAACCTCATAATGCTCCGCGGCCCTCACCTTCAGCATTGCTGGGTCATTAACAGCTACTTGCATCGCCACTCGCTGATCTGCCCAGGCGTCTTCTTCAGCGATACTCTATTCAACTCCCAATGCTTCTCAGCCTGTCATCCCCCAAACCTTTATCGGCTTACCTTCACCTCTGATACCCACAAACAAACAAAAAAACCCTGCCGGTACTCCTCTCACTATAGATTCAGCTTACAGCAGCTTTACCTCATCAATCGAAACAACGACAAGTTGGCGCGATCAGGTGGGACACCAGACTCGGGAAGCATAGGACTCTGAGCCTTATAAGTCTTCTTCTTCTCGAAATGTGAAGGGTGATTACATTAAGTCGGTGGGCGGGGATTCGATCCTCTCTTGGGTAGTCAATCGCGTAGTGGTTCGGGGGTTTATGTTTTTGCACTTTTTGGCGCTGTTGTTCTTTCACCACTACGGCACAGACCTTATTCCGCGGTCCCCTTGAGACTCACAATCCTACGATCTCTGTCACTCGGGAGCCCAATCTAAACACTTGAATCCACGAGCCCCATAGGCTCATATGGCTCCCCATCTACTATGGAGCCAGCAGCTACATGTCAAAAAAAGTGTGCCACTGAGGCATCTTCTCGCGCAGTTCAAAAAGTGTACTAGCAAAAGGTCTAATCATTGGAACCCTAAACATAACATATACTCCTTGTGCATCTCGATTTTAGTACTCAAGGAGTGGAAGCTCAAGTGTTTCGAGCTATTGTTGTGTTGCTCTCGTAGACGCCCGTGCTGCCTGGCGCCGGCCGCGTGGCAGTCCGCATTCTTCTGCCTCTGCACTGCGCTATTGGCTAGGCACGTACGAAACATCATAACCAGCATGCAAAAGCTGTGGTCTTCGGTTTGAGTTTGTATTTCGTCACGCAATCGGGCCTTGGAGAGGAGAATCAGTGCTATGAATGGGTAGCTTTTGGTAGATCGAACCGTTCTCGGCCCGAACCGGGCTACGACGTCATTGCCCTCAACGATTACCAACAGAATGATTACATACGCCTAGAGGATGTTCAGTATTTTAACTGGGTATATATCCCAAGCGCGCAAACACATTGTAGTCTAAAGTCAAACCTCACTTCGCAATCGCAATAATCGACAGACCACCAAGACACTTTACAAAAACCTCCACCTACAGACACACGTCAGCCAACCATCAACATGACCAACATACTCCTCATCGGCGGCCACGGCAAGGTTGCCCAGCTCCTCACACCCATCCTCCTCTCGAAATCCTACAACGTCACCTCCATGATCCGCACAGCCTCTCAAAGCCCCACCATCGAAGCCCTCGGCAAGAACCACCCCGGCAAACTCAATGTCCTCGTCAGCAGCGTCTCCGATGTAAAGTCCGAATCCGACGCCCAAGCCATCATCGACAAAGTCAAGCCATCTTGGGTCATCTGGAGCGCCGGCGCCGCTGGAAAAGGCGGCGCCGACATGACCTACGCGGTTGATCGCGATGCGGCGATTGCGTTCACGAGAGCTAGCGTGCATACGCCGAGTGTGAAGAAATTCCTCACCGTATCTTACCTGGCGAGTCGACGGGGTAGGGCGTCGTGGTGGAGCGATGAAGATTGGAAGTCAGCGCAGAAGATCAACAACGAAGTTCTGCCGACGTACTATAAGGCCAAGATCGCGGCTGATGAGGTGTTGACGATACTTGCGAATGAGAGATATACTGAGGAAGATAAGAAAGGAGTTAGCGCGAAGGACAAGTTCTGTGCGATCAGCTTGAGGCCGGGAACGTTGACGGATGAGAAGGCAGGTGGAGTGAAGGTGGGCAAAGTTCGGGGGTTGGGTGGGAAAGACGAGTTCGCTGCAACTACAGCGGAAGCCGATAGTCGCAGCGTTGGAGACCGGAGGGTGCGAAAGGGGTGGATCGGATGTTACGGAATGCCGACGGAGGAGGCGCATCAAGCGATCCCAAAAAATTGACGAAAGAGGGTTCTAGGATGTGGAAGATGGAGAGGATTTGGAGATTTATGAAGCAGAACATTGCAAAAGCTAGGTTAAGTTTGAGAGGCGATAATACAATCAGCACTTCTTGAGTTTAATCAAAAACATTGTCACCGCCAATCCAAGAGATAAGTTTCGACCTTTTGTCTACGCAGCAGTAATGCGAAGAACCCTTCTCGGTGTGTCAGTTTCCTCGTCTCCTTCGTCCGGTTCTTGCCACACACTGTAGTTTGCTGCACCCTCCGGAGCTTTCTGCTTAGTTGCAACATTCATCATCATCTCATCCTTCCACACTCGAATTCGTTTGTTGACCAGATCCCATACTAATGATGTTAATGAAGCTCGCCAGATTTGCCAATTGATTTGACTTACAGTCATCCGTACAATTACCTTCCACATGATACCTTCTAGGCCTGGGGTCGCCGGGATGCTGGTAGAACAACCATTTATCCACAAAGTCTCGCATTTTGGGGTCGTCTTTGATATCCATCCATTTGAATTCACGAAGGAATGGATCCTCGCGAGTTCTACAGTGATACTGCGTATTCCTTAGTTCTCTTAGCACAACGGCACTTTTCTCGTGTTCTGTCTTGGAGTAGTCCTCGCCATCAATGGCTTTGTAACGCCCCAGCTTGCTCGGATTTCGTAACCTTCCTTGGCACCTGGAATCCGTATCTGACAAGCCTTAATCTGCCAAATGGACGGATAGTACTCTTTGTTTCTCATAGCCCAGCAGTCTAGAAAATTCTCGTGTGTGAAGTCAGCGAAGCCGTGACTATCGCTCATTGGAACCCATACTGAGCGTTTGATATCTGGTCCTTTCCACGTTTAATCCACTTCTTGCTTTGTAGCACGTCTCCTTCTTGGTGCATCATCTTCCCTTCTTGTACAATTCCCTTGTAGGCCACCCTTCTCTTGTGTATGAGGACGCGCGGTCGGGTAATAGTACGGGTCAACCGGTGCCAGCGGCGGTCTTGCATAGCAAGAATTTGCAGTGTTTGGATATTGGTTGATGTATTGAGGAAACGCACCAACGTAGCCGTGCATGTATGACTGAGGCGCTGTCGGAAATCTTTCGCACGCGCCAGCTATATTTCCGTTACTCGTTGGAGACTGATAACCAGGAATATCGGCATGTCGAGAAGAATGACTAGTCGCTCGAGTATGGAAGTCGTTCATGTATCTTGCGGAAGGCGGTGGGCCAGAACGTTGTGATGACATGCTCTTCAGAACTCGATAAGGTAGAAACGTTTGTTACGGAAGAGAGGATTATAGAACTGGGACATTGGGGTTTTATATGCAAGAAGTTGGTGAACAATGACACCTTGGGCTGCGCCTCACTGTTATGAGTGCCTCAATGCTCGTACAAATATAATGATATCCACTCACCGACTGTAACTTTGACATCCGAACGTATATATTACGACCACTTGCTGTACACAGCTATAAATGTTCTTTTCTACCAAACTATCCTTGTAATAAGGGGAGTAAGACCAATTTTGACATGCCGTACATAATCAAGCTTCTCCACGAGTGTTAGGACTATACACTTTCAGTCCACCCCACCTCACCGCAACATGATCCTCTCTAGAACCGTAATTTTTATGCTTCAGCTTCCTTTAAAAACTGTCAACCATGATAAGTTCAACTATCATGTGCGTAATGTTGCGCTAAATTTGTGGATCCGAGTTGTGCCCTTTCCCCCACCGACAGATTCATTCCAAGCAACGTAAAATTGTGGAAGAAGCCTTAGGTGGAGTCTGTTAAGATTTCAGATGGTGTAGCTACCTCACAAAATTAATCTTGAGAGACGCAATCTATTGGTTTTTCTCCTTCGGATGAGTTCTTCCAGGTTGCTATGACAAGGATAATTATAAATGCAACAAAGCATGAGTAGATCTAGATGCGTAAGTAATACATAGCTCATATATCTTGTGTAACACAGACTGATCATTTGAAATCTACAAACTGCGCAGGACAAGCAGACAGCATAGTACGTCTATTAAACATTACTTCCCTTTCCGTCATATACTTTTAGGAGACAGTCGCAACAGTATGCATCTATTAAAGACCTCTGCAAAACTTCTGTTCATCGCGGAGTAAAGCTTACATAACGCATCCTGCTGAAGCATTCCTCAAATTGAACTAAATCGATTAATGAAAACTGTCGCGGTTCCTAATTTCCCAAAACTTTTTCGCCCATAGACGACCTCCCGTACCCAGTGGCTACCCACTCAATCCGAATCGCATAGGTAGGATGCAAGGTGCTCTTCAAGCTTACTGACTATCATTCCATTAGACTTCTTCAATCTTCCAAAACATCACCGTAAAATTTACCATTAATAGTGCAGTTTTTCGCTGTGTCGAACTTCACCATCTTTTCCCCGTTCACGCTACCGTTCTTCAACCTATGAACAGTGTTCTCATCTTCTGTCCCATTCACTTGATCAACCTGAACACCTTCACCGTAACGCAGGGCTCTCTCAAGTTCGAAATCGGCCGCGGTCTCTCTAACGAGGAAACCTTGGCCTTTTGGCTCGTATCCGTAGGCTTCATAGGTTACTAGGAATAGCTTGTCACGGCGTTCAATGATCCACTGCCATTCGCGCGACATATCGTCTTCTGCTTATAGATATATTTGTATGGTCGAAGAGTGATTTGCAATATATTCACTGTGGTGTGTCTCGAATGTTGTACTTTCAACTTGGGTGTTGTATTGTTAGACTGCTATTGCTGGAAGATACGCGCCTTTTTATAGAGATAAAAGTTTTCGTTGAAAGCTTTGACTGCAATTTTGACTAAAGCTAGGCCAGTCACTGTATATTCATACCGGTCTGGTCATACTTTTATATCAGTCATAGGAGCCTGGATGACACACGTTGACTCCGCGATTGTGATGACATTGCTCTTGCATGAAACAAGTTTGTTTGTATTGGTGTTTGAAGACGACTCAGCAATACGTGGCTTATAATCTTGTGTGACATTCACTGATTTATCAAGCCCCATAAATGCGTTGAGAACGAACAGAGCACTAAGATAATAGAGATCTTAACCCAAACTAGTATATCGCAAACGCACAAGCATGCATGGATTTTTTTAGAAGACGCCCAGCATAGAATTGAACAATAAGCAATGTAGGTACAATCTAACTTCTAACTTCGAAGAACAATACAGCTCGACTCTATCCCTCCTTTCCCAAACTTCTCTATTCAGGCACTTGCTTTCGATACTCCGCACGCTTTATGACTGCACATTCATTAGCATAACCCATCTCTCTCATCCCAACCTGTAACTTACCATTTTTCGTGAACCTCGCCTTATTATCCCACTCCACCATTTTCCCCTTCTCTTCCTCACTAATACCATACGTCAACTCGTAAGCAAGCTCCGTATATTTCACGTCTCCATCCCGAAGAGTCTGAACATGCACATCAGAGGGCGCTATCCAGCGTCTCTTCATACGCCTTTGTTGTACTCGAGAGAGTCAGTGGCGTAGAAGCCTTTCACCCGCGAGTTCTGTTCCGTAGGGGCGATAGAAAAACCAAGGTGGAGTGACTGGCTTCTGGGATTCTTTCGCGGACCCATCTCTTTGCGTCTGGGGTTAGGTCGGGGCGGAGGGAGTCGACGGCCGGGAACTGTGTGGGCTCTGGCTGGGAAGTTCTCAGGGATGAAATGGCGTAGGGATCGTCGCAAGGTTCTGTACCTGCCGCGGAACCTGTAAGGTTCACGAGCTTTCTGTGAGTTACATGCCTAATGTCTTCTTTGAGCTTGTCAGACATTTCGAGATTCTTTTGTTGGAACAAGAAGTGTTCTCTAGTTACAGATGAAGCTTTATAGTTAGAGAATAATGTGTTATATGAACTATTCGCTTTTAGATAGCCTGGGTGTTGTAGTGAATGTTAAGTGAAGGGGCTATTAATCAAAGACCAAAGCAACTTTTATATCTGCTATGACTGTTAGAAATAAGTATTTTGACCCATGGAGAAGTCGCCGTGACACGTCCTGTTAGTCACATGGATGCGATGACATTATTCTTATAGAGGAGTCAGATCTGATAGCACGTTCATGCCTCAGCCTAGTTTAAGCAAGTCTCTGTGCGTTGTTACAGGTGGTGCTGGTGTTGATATGTCTTGCGTTACACCTACTTTTTTTATCAGATTCATTAACACGGCTCATCTAACTAGACAAAGAAAAGTACAACGCATCAAGAGAAAAAGTAGCAAAACACATCGAAAGAAAATTGTAACATCCAAATCTACAATTCCACAGCACATCTATCCCTCGCTCCCCGTACAGCTCTCACGTCGCTTTTTTCCTCCTCACATGTTCCACTCGTTTCTTAACTACTCAATCCATTAGCTTCTTTGTCACCCTAACAACCCTCACTTCACGAACTAACCATTAACACTGCATCCCGCCTTCCTATCAAACTTCTCCACCGCCATGATCAAATTTACGTAGTTCTCATCTCCGCGTTGAGGCTCGCAGTGAATAATATCAATACCTTTCGCCCCTCGAAGCACGCTTGAAATCTTGGGTTCGTGTGGGTTTTCCTCATCGTCGAACTCGACGTAGACGCCCCGCTTCGCGTTGGGCACGTCGCCGTAGGGCTCCATCTCTACAATACGAAAACGGTGGATGTTGGCGTTGATCCATTGCTGAGCAGGTGTTAGCTGTCCCGGTGGTGCAGTGATTGCCGTGCTAGGCTTGGTATGCTTAGTGGGAGGAGGCGTGGTTTCCGGCTGGACAGTGGGATCTTGTGGAATGTCAAATGAATCAAGATAGGCCTCAAAGCCTGGAGTGAAGCCTGAGGTCGCGCCTAATGCAACAAGCGTGGCGGATCTGACGGCGTCTGTGATATTGTTGGACATTTGGGATACTGTTTGTTGGATACAATTTGTTGGTTAGTTAGGCTAGTTCTGTGATTAGAGCTGCCCAGATGCTCAAGATTTTATATACCAGCGGATTCTAAAGTATGATTCACCACATGCGTGAATCATTACCGCCGTGACATGTCAAAGCAGTGCTCAGTCAAAAGGTACACTAAACATGTTAGAGACCACGCGCTCTTGTTGGGTTTTATGACCGTGGTGTATCCCTCTCTTAAAAGGAACATGTCCGAGCCTTTGTACATTCGCAGAGTCTTCGTTCCGATTCACTACATTTGTACAACATGATGTTAGGAAATTCAATAATCTATACATCCATTCAAAAAGCAAACCCCGCAAATAAGCTATCTCAGCCTCAATCATGGTTTACATTTTCTCAAAAAGAACACTTCTAAACTAACTCCACCCTTCTCTATGCCCACTCACTCCGACCCGTCCGCCACCCTAAAGTCCATACGCGCACAAACTACACTCTCGTCAGCACCCATTCTCACGACCTCTCCATCGTGCAAACTCACCATTAGCAGAGCATTTCCTGCCGTCATCCCACATCCCACCAAACCTCAACTCGCAAGCAGTTTTCACTGCCTCTTCTTCCCACTCCAAAAGCGGCATCACCATGACTCCCAAAAGCGCCTTAAGCGCTTCCAATCGCTGTTCATTCCAGTACCTGGAGTCGAGGATGCCGAAGCTGCGGTCGACCTGGGCGTAGGGTTTGATATCCACGAAGTAGAGTTGTTCTTGCTCCATGCGCTCGTAGACCCAGTCCTGTTCAGGTGTACGCTCAATTGGGATGATTTTGTCAGGGTTCTGGGATTCTGTGGACATTGTGAGATGCTGTTTGTCTGGATATGGTTTTTTGATTAGATTGATCTAGGTATATACGTGGGACAGACATCTGCATTTTCGATTTGATTTATATATCCGCGGACTCTTGGTTGTAATTCACTTACCACCGTGAATCACAATGATGATATGTCAATGCAGAGATAGTCAGAAGTGCCAGCAAACTAGGTACAGGCAGAAATCCTGTGTGACCCAACCAACTTGGATGCAGCAACTAAGTGTTGGGATTAACACGCCTTTTCACACAATTAGATGAGTCTTCGTTGAATTCCATAACTAGGAGATGACCGAAGCTAATCGCGTCATTGTAGATGATTTAGCTTTTTATCATTACTGACTGGTGCATAAGTCATACGTAGGTCACACATAGTGACTCTATAAGTGTAATATCAGTACTTTAGTGCCACACGTGAACGCTATGAATTAGGTTTAGTTATTGTTCTAGTGCACGTATGTTCTTTTGGATTTAAATGAGCAGGAATTGTGTAAGTCGTGTGACTTGCGTACCTCCAACTATTTAGTCAAGCCCTAAATTCGGCTCGTAACAAGCAGAAAACAAGGAAAGGCCCATTGATATTATAATATTTTTAAACGGTGCCTTCGCGAGATATCCGCAAGTAGAAGCATATCATCATAATTTCCAATCTCACAAACAAGCCCCCCCTCCAACATATCCCATCTCCTCCGAAATTCAGTTCCCCCGAGCATCTCGCGCCTTGGCTACAGCATACTCACCCCTCTTTACAACTACTCACACATTAGCATCTCCATCTTCGCCCCAAATCCCTGCCATCCAACTTACCATTCCGCGAACAAAACTCCCCCTCAGCCCACTTCTCCCCCTCATCCGTCCCAAAAAGCATCTCACAAATCTCATTCTCATCCTCCTTCGTCTCATTCGTACACTTCCTAATCGCCACCCCAGGAGTCGAAGCCAGCTCCCTCCACATCTCGCGGTCGATGCTCTGCGGGTCGAGTTCCTTCTGATCAGGGCCCATGTATGGCATGCCTCTGGAGAAGAAGAAGCCTTTGCCGGCAGGTCCCGTGGGGTAGGAGTCAAAGTGCACGATGTACAGGTTTTCTAGTTGGATGTAGTTCCAGACCCAGTAGCGTTGGGCGTCTTGGAGGGTGGTTGGGTAAGGAGTGAATGTCGACATGGTGAGGTGCTGTGTCTTAAAGTAGTGTTTGTACTTGAATTGTAGAAAAGCAGTTTCGTCTATTAATTAGTAGTTGGAGTTCGTATGGTTAGAATACTATATAAGCCCTCTCACTTTATATGCCTGTGGAGTCGTGCTTGTGATTCACTCCATTCGTGAATCACCACCGCTGTGAGATGTACAAGCAGCACTGGAATCAGAAGTTTAAACATCCAAGTCAAAGTACATGACCAACAGCAGAAATCTTGCACAACACAAACAACGGGGGTTGCAACGACAGCATTGGTTTAAAGACCGTAATCCATTCATTCTCTCATCTGAAAAAAATCTTGTGGTATCATAACGAACACAAACGCATCATCCCCCAAACGCTAAACCGCAGCAAATAAAACAAAGCACACAAAAGTTCTATAGTACAAATCATTGTTGCTCCACCTCCACCAGCCACCGTCTAATACCCTCCTTGAGCGACGAATCTGTGGAAGTCCTAGGATAACCTCGCCTATCAGTCTTCGATGCGTCAGGATCCGACTTGGCCTCGTCCTTGCCACTTCGCGCCGCAGTGACGTCTTTGACGACCGTCTCCAACGCATCGAAGATGACGCCTTTGCAGTCTGTCTGTGGCACTTCAACGTGCGGAGTTACATTCGACTCGACGCGTATGTCATGTCGACCACGCCGCGAACTGGATCTGGATGACTGTGCGGAGTTGTTTCGTGTAACCTCTCCTGACTGTGCCAGGGCACGGTCGACGCCGTCTATGAGTGTCGCGTCAAAGTCCATGATTGTCTCCACAATGAAGTCTTCTTCGAGGTGGACCTCGGTCATCATGGGCACGGTCGAACCAGCCGTGTATGGATTACCGTATTGAGAGCGACCCGGAGGCATACCAGGCACGCCTGGTGTCATTGCGGTTGGTTGATGTGTGGGAGTCGGGATCAGCTTAACTAGTCTTCGCAGGCGAAGACGCTTAATACTGAAGGTACGCGTGTCTGCGATCAACGCCGAGCACACATCGATCCAGCGCTCTAGGGGGCCTGTTTCAAGGCTGGGAGTCACAGCCATGCTGAGCGGCGTTGGTTCCGCACTCATTGCTCGTCGGATGTCGCGCGTCAAATCGTTGTAAGGTTTGATAGCCTGAATGGCAAAGTCTGGGTGAAACTGACTCAGCCAACCCGCGGCGTTGACTGGCTGTTCAGGCTCGCAGTACGGCAGCGACAATACTGACGTCTCGCCAAAGCTCGAACCATGCTGACTGGACGCTGAGCCATAGGCATTGAGCAGAGGCGATTGCAATGGGGAATCGAAGTCAGGGAGTGGGATATCGACCTCGATAACACCATCTTTTTCGTTCACAGAGAGCTTGAGTGGGGAATCGAAAGTCCGAGGCCGCTCTGGTATTGGACGCGCAGCTGATGGGGCGATACCGCTGGAGCCACTGATCGGGTATGTTTCGGGTGAGCGGTCGGCTGCAGTACCAGGACGAGCATCCCCTATTCGTCGCTCTTGCGCATCGCCGTCGCCAAACATTCCATCCATGGAAAGTTCTTGGACCATCTGCTCGAGCTGTGACGTCGGCCGCTCTTGTCCTCTGTAGCCTATACCGTCATCGGTGGTCTGCAGATAGTCACTCATATCTGTAGAGGATGAGCGACGTCCGCCCCAGAAGTTCATGAAGCCGCTCCAACGGCTCGTGTTACTAGAGTCGCCACTTGCAATGCTGGTTTGCCCGGTACCACTCCTTTGCAGCGTGTTGATCAAGTTCGCCGAAGCCAGACTGTCACTACTTTCGGGCCTGTGGTCAGTGTGTGGGCCGAAGGACTTGGTTCTCGGTAGCGTGAAGTGGGCCATGGGGACAGTAGTCTGAGACATGGCAGTTGCTGTAGGCGCGATGCTACTTTTGCCGTTGGCTGGCGCATCCGAAAGCGATGGCATCACCAGGCTTGCACGAATAGAGTGAGTCGATGAGCTACGAGAATGACCAGGCGGTCTCTTCATCTCATGCATGTCAGGTGCAGATAATTCACGTCGCTCGTCCGGGGCTTGAGTCGGAGTTTGCTGGCCATTGTTCGCATGGGGAGGCTGCAAATGAATGTTGGTCATGCTCTGCTTGTCACGCGGGCGACGATTGATCTGGCGGCGCAGAGATTGTTTCCTTGACGGCGGCATGTTACTTGGTGGAGACTGTGAATAAGCACGGAAGGATGCTGAAGTACTCGGGCGCATGAAAGCTGAGCTTTCGCTGATAGCGGGTGTGTTGGGTGGCAGAAATGCCGCGAGCAGGAAAATCAGCCTACGAGCGGCCATCTTGTCGGAGGACACGATGACTGTGCGGTTTGGGATGGTCAAGTTCTCTCCTGCAGTTGCTTTTTGCTGTTCACGGTGACGTTTGCGGTGCCATTTTGGACCCAGTATGTTGAGCCACTCGGTGTGGTTTCCCAAGAAGGCTGTCAGCAGGTTGAAGAAGAAAAAGTTCTGCTCCTTCCGTCCAGCCCAGCGACCAAGCCACCTCGCTTCTTCTCTCCAAATGCCCCATTTCCCTTGACCAGTCATGACACGGGGGATGCGCATGCCGGTAACGACACGGTTGCCAGTGAGCTCGGCTGCAGTCTGTATCTCTTTGTCCATCATCAGAGCGTTCGGCTGTAGTCGCAGTGGCCTCCGTAAGGTGTTCGTTGCAACATCTCTCAGGCTGCTTCGCGAGGGCTGATGTCGATGCTGGTGGGGTATCGGCAGAGACACCGCGTCTGGCGCTTTGAAGCCAGCGAGTATCCGCTCTTGCACCACGTGTTGTAAGCTGGTAAGCGCACGCATAATGACATCCCAATGCTGTCCAACAACATCCACCCGGTCGTCCACATCACTACTTAGAGAGGAGGAGAGTAGCGATTCGACGCCGAAGTTGGGCTCCACAAAGGCCCAGCCGGCACGTCGATCTGAGTCTAAGGAAGAGCCTAGAGAGTCTTGTCCGGGAACAGAGGTAGATAGATGTGCTGCGTTTCGAAGGTTGTTTCCTCTTGACTGTGGCCGTAGTGTAGGAGAGGACTGTGCTACGGGTAGGTGTAAGATTATGGTGATGGCGTACATGGGACTTCGACGGGCCTGTGACGCATACGGTGGTTTGGGTATCCCCGACTTGTTCGAGGTCGACGGAAAGGGAAAGCCATTGCCCTTCGGCAGGGAGTTCTGTGGCGTCGGCGTGCGGGCGTCCTCTTGCTCTTCGGGCACTGTGACTGAGAACATGCGGGTAATGAAGATGGTGCGGCGTTTCGATTCCTTGGGCACACTCTCATTCGAGTCGCTCCGCGGGAGGTCGGCGGGAGGGTTGCCCGGCGTGAACGACTTGGCCAGGTTGCTCCTCCTCCGGAAGCCCTCGGCGCGTCCCAGAGAGCCTATGGCATCCTGCATGCCTGTCGTCGTCGCGGACGCCTCTGCGGGCTTGGTGTCGAGCGGCACAATGTGGATCTTGTTCGAGTTGCCCCGGTAGTTCATGGCCAGGTTCCCAAACATGCAGTCGAGGCAGGTGTTGGCCAGATCCGTCGACTCCTTCGCGCGTGCCTGTGCGCGGGCCTGGACAACCTGGGCATGCTCGTCGATGTTGGGCATGGACGACACGGAGCCGCCGCGCGTCCGGATGCGAGTGAAGCCAGCCAGCGTGGGCGACCTGGGCACTGTAGGCTCAGTGACGAGCGACGCCCTCCGAGCATGCACGCCGCCGAACGTGGGGCCAGCCGTGCTTGCGGTGGCAGCTGTAACGCCGGGCCCAAATGCTCGCGAGCGCGTCGCGGACAGCGGGGGCGAGTCGGGACGTGTGGGGGCAGGCTTCGAGTCGAACAGGATCGTCTTGGGCGTGGAGCCCGTCTCGTCCTGGGCGATGATGATGCGGCAGTCTCTGGGGTACTCGAGGTCAATCTCAGGAAGGGGCCCGTCGTGGCCGCTGCCCGGTGTCAGTGGCGCGGCGTGCAGCGGATGATACGGGCCCTCGGGGTGGTGCAGCGTGTTGGACTCGGGATAGAGCAGGTGTCGCGTGTGGCTCTCTTCCGTGGCAGAGTCCAGCACCGTGGGCGAGGGCGGGGCATGTGACGCGCTCGCGGGCGTGCCTTTGCGGCTGCTGAAGAATTGGCCGATCATGTCTGGCACTGGTCGCATGGAGCCCGTCTCAGTCTTAGCAGACGCTGGGAGAGCCGCAGTAGAAGGTGTCGCGAACTCGAACTGCGTAGGCGACGAGACAACCCATGGCAGCCAGCTGTTGCCTGGGCGCGAGACGTCTGTTGGAATGTACCGCGTCGCGTGTTGACGATGGCCGTTGGTGGTTGGTTGCTCCCAATGTCGTCACAAGATGCGGCTTGTGCACGACCACAGGCTGGAGCGTGGGTGCGGGCGTGCGTGAAAGCGTGGACACGGCCGACAAGTGGCACAGGGACCCTTTCAACAAGCTTTCAACAAGGCGGGGTGTGGTGGGAGTGAAGGTGAGGGCGCGACGGGCGGGCTCGTGTGGTGCTAGCATCGAGTCTAGCATCGGTGCTAAGTTATCTTCATGACAATGGGCGGTGAGCGCGTCGGGCCATCGTGATTCTCAGGCTGCATCATCAACACCACCGATGCACCCTCTCCCTTCCTAACCGGGTATGCGAGATGGTCGCATCTGTGAGTGAGCGTGCGGGTGGGCCGCTCGTTCCCTGTCGCAGCCACTTGTCGTGGTCGTGTAATTGGTGAGAGGGGCTTCATCACTCATCGCTCTCTGGCCCCCGAACGGCACCCTGCACATCAGACGCTAGGGTACCCCAGTTCTGGCCATGCACCAGCCTACCTGTCGACGCAAACGGATAGTCCTTCCTTGGTCCAATACATAGCCGGCATCTCAGACGCTCTCTCTACTGGACTACATCTCCATGTCCTCGGAAGCCTGCATGCTCGACGGGTGCGTATCAGCGCATCTTGTCCACACGCTGTTCTCGTACAACCACATGTGACTTTGTGTACCGTGGGCGTGGGAGCATTTACAACGCATTGCATGCCAACTTCTGCTTTGTAGCGATTACAAACACACAAACCTCACATCATGTGCTTATTTACTTCAATTGTGTCAAGGGTAGGCCTGCACGAGTGACGTTTGATTCATCCATCGAGGGTCCTAGAGAAACGCAACACCAGGACCGTACCGGATACCGCTTCCGTGTTTCCTCTACCCATCACAATCACACCCCAGATACACATTTCCATACATCACCATGCATGCCCCGTTCTCGAATCAGCGTCATGGCATTGGCTGCCCGACACCGGAGAAATTGTTTTATAGAGTGCACATACGCAGCCCTTCGCATAAAACCCACCCTGGACGACACTCGTATCCATCAGACCCTACAAGGGTACAACTCTAATCTGCCTCAAACCCAAATCCTTTGCTACCCACCAACAAAGAGAAAAACATCATGCCATCAGCGCCTTGGGACCAGATACCAGGCCTCGAATATACCCCGCCATGCCCGCTCGCAGTCAAGAAGCATCTAGCCTCCAGCACCCCAGGTTCGCTTCGTGCCTAAACTCCAAGCTACACACGCAAGGCTAAAATAACATTTCCTGTTCCGATGCCCTTTGCATGCGCGTGTCGATCCGAAAAGTGGCCGGAGTAACGATGCGCTAGACTGGTGTATCTCCACTGCTGCAGGTAGGTCGAAGTACGGCGTCAGGAGCGTTTACCGGCGCATCTGTATTGTGGCCCGGTGGGAAATGAAGCGGTATACTACACACGACTATTGAGCCTGCCAAACAATGTACTCGTTAGCGTCGTGAGGTAGTGTATAGTTTCAAAATGCAAGCACCAAGTCCAATGGCCGACAAGCCGAATGTCATTGTCGTCAGAACTCTTACCACCACCCAACACCTACGCAAATCAAAAACTCCACACGCGTACGCAATGGCCATCCCTCAACCCTTCCCTCAAGGCGCCTATGACTTCACAAACCCCACGCGTGATGCAAGACATTGCAAAGTGGATTCCCCTACGCGCCCATGCATCTCCACTCCACAATCTGCATGCGAATCTCAACCTGTGGAGCCATGCCTTGACGATCATGTCTTCACAACACATCACACCCAAAAAGTTTCTTGCAAGTCATGTGCCTGTTTATCTTCCTTTTCCTTTGCATGTCGGAAACACCGGTTGTGGTATCGTGAGGTTACTCGCTTGGCTGGCTGAGACAATGTCGGTGAAATCGCCGACGGAGCCGGGAAATGCCCATTTGACCGAAGTCGGTGAACGCTTCACTTTTGTGCGCGGACGAGAGTTTCGAGATGAGCGGTGCGGCCTTATTCAATTGTAATGAAACTGTTTCGAAACTTTACAGAGTCAAAGTATTGTCCTGCTTGAAACCGAATTCAACTGAATTTACAAGTGCTCTGTATCCAATCGCCAAGACTCCTCCTAGGATCGCAAGACTCCATGTAGAACATACCAAAATCCATCTAAAATCTCACTTCTGTTCCTCGCTTCCCAAACTCACAAATCTCCAAAACCTGAATACGATCTACTTCCTTCCCTCACTCCCCAAACTCCCCTGACTATCCTGCCTCCTCGGCCCACCCTCATGAATATCCATCACACTCCCCCTCCTCCCCATCCCCGCCATATTCGTCTCACTTGCCTGTCTCCTACCCGCAATCCCACTGCCCATGCCCACATGCATATCAACAAGCCCACTACCTCCCCTCCCCGTGAACGTCGAACTCAGCGTCCACCCTGACCCCGCGGGACTCGCCTCACGGATACTAATCGCGGGCGGGAGACCCAGGCTCGGGATTTTATCGTCCAGCCCATGCGGTAAGATACGCGGAGATGGCGAAGGCGCCTGTTTAAATGCTTCGTTGTAGAATGCGGAAAGGGCGGCGGGGTCGGAGCAGAAAGATTCGAGTTCGTCTTTGACTTGTTCGGGGGTGAGGGAGACGGCGTGGGCTAGTTGGGTCGATGCGGTGAGGGGCTTGTCATGGAATGCGGTGTGCAGGAGGCTTGCGTCTTGGACGGGGCGCGCGAGAGGGCTGGAGAAGGGGCTGCGGTGGGGGTTGGCGCGCTCGGCGGGGGTTGAGGGCATACGGATGCTTTGGCTGCCGTCTGTGGTTGCTTTTTTGTGCTCGTAGGGGTCGGTGAGGCGGATGCGGCCGTTGTCTTTGGCACGGTTGTGGGCGAGTCGGTTGGCGAGGAGGATGAAGTTGCCGGAGTTGGTGATCTGGGCGAGGAGTGTTCCGCTGCAGTGGATGAATTGTGTGTACTTGTAGTCTGGGTTGCCCCAGGAGTAAGTCACGTCGATGTCTGATGGAAAGGCGCTCGCAGCCTCCATGTCCAAGACGAAGTGTAGCTTGCGAAGGAGAGCTTTATGGTAAGCGAACTTGTCTGCGTTGGCGTACTGCGGAGAGAAATGTGTCGAATCCCAGACTGCCTCTGGTTGAGCCTGGGGTGGCTGTAGTGCCAGTTTGATTGAGTATGGAGACCGGAAGGGATTATGATCGATGATGTCCGCGACCTCGGAAATGGGCACCTCTACAAGTTTCAGGCCGTACTTTTCGACGCTCGTCGCCCATGTGACAATGGCGTCCTCTATGAGCTTCGCTGTGACATTCATCCAGTCGATACGAATATGGTAGCAGTTGTCTGGGTTGTGCAGACGGTCATAGTGCAGGGAGATGATCTCGGGACGATAGGATCGCTTACGCGAGTCTACATCGTAGCGCATGACGCGAGACAAAGTGACTTTACGTTTCGGGCTGCTGATACGTGTGGGCGTCTTCTCTCCTTCCTGACTTGAGTCTGAGGTACTGGAAGAGCTTCCTGTACTAGGTCTAGACTTTGTGCTTCTTGGAGCAAGCGGCGAGGTTCGCGGACCGTCTGAGAGCGGCGTAGATGGGACAGATTTGTCCGACTTGCGCATCCCAAACCAGCCTGTGCGGGAGTCGGACCGCGGAGCTCGATACTCTGGAGCTATTTGGAAGAAGAAGTTTCCATCGCGGAAATGGTGTCGTTTCTGGACGTGCATGAATAGTCCCTTGTTCATCAGTTCGTTGCCCAGTTCAACAGCGTCGTCGCGGGTCTCCAGGTCCTTGAAGTTGGGACAAAAGCCAGTTGACCAGAATCGAAGCCTAAGAAACATGTGTAATGAAGCTTCCAATGCCATCTTCTGTCAAGCACCTGTATACCCTTCTCGCCCTGAATGTCTTCGGCAAGCTTCTTGAGGTCAATGTTGGATGTGTGATACTTTTCTGTCTCGGAGAAAAGTGTACTCTGCAATTCACTTTCATTCTCATTGTACAAGGCCGTGTCAGGACCGGCAGCCAAGACCGCAGATGGGTCGCGTGTATGGTACGCAATTGCAAGCGGATTTGGATCCTTTTGTTTTTTAGACGTCGCTGCCTGGAATGTGTGCGCTCCTCGGGTGGAATGTATCTGTGCTTTTGCCACAATTGGGTCAGCTTTCGGATACCTTCCAGACGAACCTCTTCCTCTGAATCCTCGGTGAGCATGGTCAGAGGGCGCCGGTTTACGATAGGTATTTCCACAGGGATCAAAACGAATCGAGCTCTCCAGAAGCGCAGCACATCAGACAGCTCATCGTGATAGCCAGCTAAGAATGTGTCAATAAAGTTCCAATTGTACTCCTTCCTTGGCGGACGCAGGACGATGTCTCGTGGTGTATATTTCTCCTCGAAAGCTGTGCGAATGTAAGCTTTGTATGGAAAGGGAGTATCGACACCTGCCGAATCCTCCAAGGCTGTAGTAGGCTTTCTATTGTAGCGTTTGACTTCGACCTCGCCACCAGCCACGCAGACCAACTGATGAATGCTGTTGCCAACACTCATGAAGACTGTGTCCCCATCAGTAGACATATAGTCTGGAGCTAGCACACTCGCCAGAGCTCTTTCGTTCCGCCCGGAAAACTCTGCGACTGCAGAGCCAACAATGATCTGAAAGCCATGGGAAAGACGGAAAGCGATGAGTTCTCGAATCAGGGATTCTCTGGACTTGGGGGTTTCCATCTCGTCGTCCTCGTTCTGCGTTATCTTGTACGGATTTTCATTGTACTCTGTTGCTACTTGTTCCGCTGTCGGGAACCATTCGTGTGTCAATGGCACAGCTGCGGGCGAACACAGTGACCGCCACTTAACGGTGCCAGCTCGAAGTGTTCTTGGAAAGACGTGATGCCAACGTCTGAACTGGTTCCTTGGGTTTATGTTGTTTTTCTTGGGATTGCAAGGGTTGACGAGCACAGCCCAAGGCGCGATTGCGCTTGTTGGGGATAATGTCCGTGGGACCTCTCTTGCTCCACCACTCGAAGAAAGCGTTGGTTTCGGAGGTACAGAGTCGCCCAATGCCCGGGAGCCGGCGAGAAGGAAAGTGGACCCTGGATCCTTTATGACTGAGTTGGACTGCGAAGAGATGGTTGCCTGACTAGATCGCATGTCTCTTACTGTTTCTACGGAACGAACAGGTGGTGGTAAGTCGGATGAATCAGTACGGGATGATGCTCGAATAGCAATAGGCTCAGATGCCTTCTCTGTCGATGTAAGCCTCGTACTAGCAAGTCTTTCAGCGATAGGACCCTTCTGGTTCTTCTCAACAGTCAACATGGCAGGTTTTACACTTCCTGGTCTCATGTCGAGGGTAGCGTCGGCTATAGTAGATTTTGCTGGTGTTACCTTTCCTCCAAAACTGATTTGCCTAAGGAACCAATTACCAGGTCGGGGCTTCGCCTCGGGTTTGGCGACCATTGGCCCAATGTTGTTAGACGGAGCTGGGGGCCCCACGACCTGTGACCGTATGCTTCTGGGGGGAGAGTGTGCTCTGCTTGGCGCTGGTGAGTGCCGTGGAGTCGATCGCATGGACATGTGGTGATCTTGTGAGTCTCCTGAGCCACCGCGTCGGTGAACACTGGGACGACGCGGGTCCGGGCTGTCTCTGGCCCAGACCTTCTGTCGCTGCAAAACGTCCACCCGTGGTTGCCCTGGAGCTCTGTGCTCCAACAAATAATGAGACGTATTCCGAGGAGACTGTCCCTCGACTTCCTGTGACCTCTCACGCATGATTTGATGGAATGTAGCATCTTGCGATGGTCGAGCTGTCTTGCCGAAAGCGGGTTCAACGCTGCGAACCGATGTGGAGAGATACGAGCTTCTTGACAACTCTGGAGACTGGTTGAGATGCGAATCACCCCTTCCTCGCTGTTCCATCGTCATCGCGGGCTGAGGCACTGGTGAAAAGACTCTATCGTCATAAGCTTCCATCCAAGCCTTGTATGCAACACTTCTCTCGTCGAAGTGATCCTCACCAAAGTCTCTATCGCCCCTTGAAGAGTAAGACCCTGTTGCATTGTTGGAGGAGTTCAAGACAGCCTTTTCTTCGGCCGCCCTTCTTGCTTCGGACGATTCGGTACGGTCGCCCATATGATGTGGGTACAAAGGGTCCTCCTCCAGGTATGGGATCGAAATGTCTCCAAGTTCGTTCTCTAAGACACCCATCATTTGCAACTCGTATAGGCGACAGCGTAAAGCAAACACTCTGCCTTTCTTTCGGGTACGCTTCACTATTCTGTCGGCTTTCCTTGGCTTGGTCAACTCCAAGGTATCATCAGCTGTGCCGGACCAGAATGACACATCAACCCAGTAGGGCATTGCGAATCGCCACTCATCGGGATTCTCCGAGGCGGCAGCTGAGATTTCTTCGGCCACAGAATGAAGAGCAGTCGAAGACGACGTGCGTACCAGCGAGCCAAGGACAGATTCATATTGACGTGGCGTCCTGTCCTCTAGATCCGCGAAGTTTTTCACCGAACTGCGCCTCTCACCCTGTCTCTTCGCAAGGAAAGATTCAACGGCGGATACCGAGCGTGGGGTGCGGTACTTGAACAACGGAACCGAATGCAGTGGCATAGGTGACAAACAAACTAGGTCGATGCCGATACCTGAGCCCATGAGAGTGTCCGTTGTCAGCTTCAGCATGTTGTAGTCGACCTCAAAAACTCCTGTGCCTGGTGTGGACAACGATGACAGATATGCCAGTGCGAACAAGATCACGATCAATATAGTCCTTGGAAAATTGCGCAGCCGCTAAATTGATAGCTTCGAGGATGTTCCCTTGGCTGGCAGATGTGGGCTTGCCAGCTACAATCATATCTGGTTCTGCACCATCCGGCTCGGCTTTCGAATACCGTTCTTGTTGAGCCAGGGGTCTTGGGGCAATGGAGACCTCGCGAAGGAACGTTCTAAATTCCTTCTTCAACTGGTAGAGAATGTTGATCCAGTCTCCACTGGCCATGTCGCTTACAACGACGCGATAGTAATCGCGAAAAGTATTGGACTGAGCTTTCGAGTCATTCCGCCTGGGCGTACTCGTGGATCGTTCAGTTGAAACCTCACCGTCATATTCCATCCTCGTGAAGAGTATGATAGTTACTAGATGTCTTGCGTTGATTCTGAGCCATCTCTTGAACAAATCTGGGAGGAAACCTCCCACGACCTTGTTGAACATGATCTCGCCAGCACCTTCAGCATCGAAGTCCCACATTTCTTTTGACATCTGCAAGAACAGGACATACCGCGCAGACTCGCTGCGAAATACGGGTCTGGTCCTTGGCGAGAAGTATCCAGAATGTACCGAATGGCCATTGATGTAGATGTGCTTGATAGTCGCTTTGATGGTGCCCATGAAGAGCAACTTCTGGCCCTTGTAGACCGTTCTCTTGCTCAGTTCAGCTGTAGCCATGCGCCACATGTCAGCACGCGCAAGATACTCGTCGCGAAAGACAAGCTCCACGTGATGTGCCTCGTGTTTTTTCCTTCATCGGCCTACAAAGATCAGCTTCAGGCTTGCAGTTCGATTGACTATCATACCTCGGCAACAATCACCTGCATTCGGTTGCGGAAGCCGATGACTTTTTGCTATCGAACTCTGATATCGATACCTGGTTGACCTTTTGTGAAGTGTTGTACACAGTTGCTCTGGGACACCGCCTACCTGTAGATTTGCATGTTATGAATTTCAGGGTCCGCAGGAAAGCGCTGCAGCGGCAAAATACCATATAGCCTTTTTAGCTTCAAATGTCTCGGACATCAAGGAAAATGGA